CTGGGTCTCCCAGGGCCTCGCTGGCGGGGGCAGCGCGAGCTGCAACTGCCGAGGCCCAGCGGTGGAGGACGAGCTGCCGCCGCAGCCGCTGCGCGCGCGGGCGGAAGCGGCGACGACGGCGGCGGTGTCGACGACGGCGGCAAGAAGGACGGCAACGACGGCGGCAGCGACGACAACGACAACGACGACACTGGCGGTGGCGGCGGCGGCGGCGAGGATGTGGAGGGGCGGTGGTCATAGTCGTGGTGATCGTCGTCGTGGCGTGGCCGTCGTGGTGGCCGTGGAGGTCGTGGCCGTCGTTGCGGCGGCGGCGGCGCTGGGAGGAGGTGTGAGCAGGTGGAGAGGAGGTCCCTGCGTAGCTGGAGAGGAAGGCGGAGAACTGCGGCAGAAGCCGATCGGCCCGTGGGTGCCAGCTTCCTCTGGCGGGGCCAGGCTTGATGGCCCGCTGGGACCGCGGTGGTAGCCAGGGAAAGAGAAGGCGAATGGGGAAGAAGGGGGTGATGATGATGGTGAGGAGGGGGAGGAGGAGGAAGAGAAGGAGGAGGAGGAGGAGGAGAAGAAGGAGGAGGAGGAGGACCAGAGTAAGCCCAAGACGCACCAACAATGTTGGAATAAAACCTTCCCTCCAAGCTCCCTCCCTCCAAGCTCCCTCTGCACAGTCCCTTGCAATAAATTCATTTACGCTGAGGAAAGTGTCCCGTTCGGAGACAGCCCGTTGAAGATCCTGAAGCGCTCCAGAACACCATTCTCGGAACCCTAACGCCACGAATCAACGTGACTGTTGCGTCTTGGTGTTCTGGAATCGTACCACAACGCTATCCCTGGGACTTCAAAACCGCGAATCAGCGCCACTATTGCGCTCTCGCAATCCTGATGCGTTCCAAAAAACACAATTTTTGGTAAGTTGACCATGGGAGCACGTGGAGGCCTTGCAAATTCTTAAGGCGATTGTGCGCGTTTCTATGGAGAGAGCCATGTTTCGAAAAGGAACCCTTGAAGCTCTTGCAAGCCCGCCGACCCAATGCGGGTCTCCAAGGTTTAGGATCATAAGTGGAACGAAACATCTCAAGCGAAACGCCCGGCCCGCCCTTCCGACTGGCCTCGGGGTGCGACAGTGGGGAGTAACTTAGAAGTAACAAGAATGAAGGGGAGGAAGTACCATGAGGCGAGGAGGAGTAGAAGGAGGAAGATGAGAAGGCCTCGCGTTGGAGGAAGGGGAAAAGGGAGGAGGAGGAGGAGGAGGGAGAAGAGGAGGACCCAGCGCAGAAGAAGATTCCAGCGGGATCAAACCTCGATTGTCCCGACGGGGATGCAGGTGCCGCGTGTCCTTCACGCCTCGCCAGGCGCGAGGAGACACAGGAGGAGAGGGGAGAAGAGAAGGGGGGGATGACGCGGGGAGAGGGAGGAGGGCGCTTCGCAGTAGAGGAGGGGAGGAGGAGGAACACCAGTGCAAACCCAAGGCTCATCAATGGTGTTGGAATAAACCCTCCCTCCGAAGTCCCTCTTCATAGGCCCCTACAAAGGGTCGTGCCAAACAACCATTCTCGGGACTCCAACGCGGAATGACCTGACTGTTGCGTCTTGACGATTCTGAATCGTGCCACGACGCAATTTCTGGGACTTCAGCACCGCGAGTCAGCGCAACGGTTGCACCCTCACAGTCCTGAGTCCTTCCAGAACGCCATTCCTGGCATTGACCATGGGGGTACGTGACACTCTGGTAGCAGATGTTCAACACCAACGTGCGCGGTGCTGGAGCCAGAGCCACATTGTGAAAACGAACCACCCTCAATACGTGAACCTCATGCAAATGTTGGAAACGAATGTGCGCAGAGCTAAAATCAGAGCCACATGTTGAAAACCACCCGCCCTCAATCTGTGAAGCTCTCGCAAATGTCTCGGACGAATGCGCCAGGCGCTAAGGCCAGAACCACATTTGAAAACCAACCGCCCTAAATCCGTGAAGCTCTTGCAATGTGTTGATAAGAAGATTGTGCGCGGCGCTAGGGCGAGAGCCATACTTTGGAAGCTGTTGCCAAGCCCGAAGGTTCAGGATCAGAAGTGGTGAGGAAGTCCCAAGCGAAACGCTTGGCCCTCCCTTTCGACCGGCCTCGGGGTGTGACAGGGAGGAGTTGTTTATTGTTTATAAGGAAAAGGAGCGGAGAAACAAGGAAGGGAATGACAAGGGTGAACTGAAGGTGCTCGGTCGGTCGAGCCGTGGGTGCTCGCCGACAAAATCGTGGCCACTACCGTGCGGGAGCACCCGCAGTGCTGAAACAGCAAATGCCTGAATAAATCCCGTATAGAGGAACACAGGAAGGCATAAACACAATTTGTTGGAGGTCCGCGCGGATTTCATGGATCTGCGCTGGGCCCCCCTACCTGGCGCGCGGACCGCTCCAGGGGCGGCGCCGGAGGCGCCGCCAGTATTGGGGGCCCAGCGCCAATCGAAAAAACCCGTGCGGAACGCCAGCAATTAGGTTCATGCTGATTTTTCTTCTTCGGCAATATCCTCTCTCCAGCCCGCGAGCACAAGCTACCTTGAGTGCCGGGGACGACTCTGCGCAGAGCGACGAGGAGAACGACGAGGACTGCCGGCCTGCCCAAGGAAAAAGCCCCCCCCCCCCCCCACGGAGGCGGCCGTCCCGAGCAGGCAGCGGGCGACGGCGGCGGCGACGGCGGCGGCCGCGGCGAAGGCAACGACAACGACGAGGTCCTTTTCGGAGGCATCCAGAGGTCACGGTAGGCCTTCCGGAGGCCCGAGAAGAAGAACAGCAAACACGTCGCCGGAAATCACGAGCCTCGACCCTCGACGAGCACGACGACCACGACGACGACGACGACGACGACGACGACGATGACGACGACGACGGCGTTCGCCCCCCGCGGGTGAGCGGCGGGAGCCCCAAAGAGAGTCGGCGGCGCGCCCGGGGGTGGAAGGCCGGAATATGGCGGGGCCTCTCGGGAGGCGCAGGAGGCGTCCGGCCTTCGGGAAGAAGCTTTCTGAGCCGTCTCTGGGCCTTAGATTCCCAAGGGCACCCTTGCGTCCTTAGATTTGTTCGGCAGCGCGCCGCTGGAAGAGCTTCAACTGAGGAGTCCAAGGACCGTCCAAGGGTCTTGCGTCCTTGCAGCGCGTCATTACTACAGTTTTTTACTGTATCTGTGGCTTCGGAGACTCTAAGGACGCAAGGGTGCCCTTGGGAATGTGATCCGTCCTAACCATGGATTTTCGCAGTAGCTTCTCAGAGGGGAGCTTCTCAGAAACCCAGCCGCCTTTCGAGAAGGCATGCCCCCTTCCACTTCCCCCCTCGGCGAAACGCCGAGTTGTTTTCGAGCTACGACCAAGGTCTTCGGCGACAGTTCGGGAGGATTCGGGCACCCCTGGAACGATTTCGGCCAGGCAAGGCTGATGGGAAGCATCCCGAGGCTGGACCCAAAAACCCCGTACGAAAACCCCGTACGTCGAACCCGAACCCATACCCCCGACGCCGTGATTTTTTCAGAACGTCGACCCCCAGAGTTCTCGACCAATTCTCAGGGACCAGTTTTTCATCCTGGGTCGTTTCCTGGAGCCCGGCGAGGGCCCCGAGAGGCCGAACATGGTAAAACACCTCCCTTCGTCCTTCGTCCTCCTTCTCTTCCTCCTCCTTCCTCCTTCTCCTCCTCTCCCCTCCTCCTGCCCTCCTCCTCCTCCTCCTCCTCCTCCTCTGCTCCTCCTCCTCCCCTCCTCGTCCTCCTCCTCCTCCCTCCTCCCTCCTCCTCCTCCTCCTCCTCCCTCCTCCTCCCTCCTCCTCCTCCTCCTCCTCCTCCTCCTCTCCTCCTCCTCCTCCTCCTCCTCCCTCCTCCTCCTCCTCCTCCTCCTCCTCCTCCTCCTCCTCCTCCTCCTCCTCCTCCCCCTCCTCCTCCTCCTCCCCCTCACGACTCGAGGGGGTCTGGGAAGATCCCTGGCTTCCCCCCTGGGCGTGCCGCCGAAAGGAGGCAGGCTGTCCTGAGCGGGTAGCCGCCGTCGCGTGGCCCATCCTGGGCGCAGTGCGGCGTGGCCTCCGTCCTGGGCGCCTTGTGCGCCGTGTCGCCTGGCGCCTGCGGGGGGAGGGCCTCCAAAGGCGAGGGCTTCGACAGACGAGGGCCGAGTGCCAACCCATATTATTGACGTGTGTATGCGTACACATAGGAAACGCACATTGTTACATCGGCGGCTAGGCTTATGTTGTTCCCATCCGACTTAAGGACCGCATCCCAGAAATAATTTCGAGCACCCAGAAAAGTGTCAAAAGAGTGTCGAGAGAGTGTCTAAACAGTGTCTCCCAGGGTCCGACACGTGAAACCCCTCGAGTTGTGAGGTACTTTTCTGGCGTTCGAAATTCTTTCTCGTGATCAAAGCTAAAGTAGGTTGGAACATCATAAGGCTAGGCAGAGGGATTGCGCTGGTGGATAGGAGTTGGTAGGGCAAACGAACGCGAAGTAGGCCGCGATGCACGAGGGGAGGAGGAGGAGACGCCCAGCGGTGGCGGGAGGGAGACGGAGGCCAGGCCCGCTCAGAGCAGGTCCAAAACATAGATGACACACGCACACACACATGCACACGTACGTAATATCAGAGTGGCGGGGCCGAGCGGTCATTTTCTTTCCCTGGGCGCGTGGCTGAAGTGAGGTTCGGCGATGCGGATTGCTGTTGAACTCTCACTACTGAAGAATAATGATTGTTCATCCCCCCCTCCGGTGCACATTGTGTTTTTTCAATTGAAGTGCCCCTCGTCGCGCTCGCACCCTTTTTTTAGCAGGGGAAATGTTCCTCCTCAAACTGTGTTGTTGGCCCCCTGTTTACAACAACAGCGGCTCTCGCCAGATACTTCCTCACAATCTATTTCCGAATCGCGCTCTCGCGCAGGACTTCCTCACCATTTAGCTCTCGCTGCGGATTTCCTCACAATTGATTTGGGAATCGACCTGTCGCTCGAGACTTCCTTGCGATTCATGCAGGACGCACGTTTCAGCAACCCGCCTGCTCGACCTGGCAGCCTGGGCCCTCCTTCCCGACCCGCCCGGTAGGGTCTACCAGCCCGATCTGCCCGTCTGGTTCTGCCGCGTGTTTTCTGCTCCTAGCCCGCGCTCCATCCTCCTCCATCCCCCATGTCCTTCCTTCCATTCGTCCTCTCGTCTCCTGCTCCAGGGGCTGCGCGAAATACACGTTGCAGGTAAGAAAGATATACCCCCAATGGGGTACGATCGAGGACGAAGAGGGCGGGTATCGAGGATTCGGGATGTACGTGATGAATCGCACGCGAGCAGATAAGAACGAACAGTCTAACAATGATTGTTGTTGCTGCTGCTGTTGTTGTTGTTGCTGTTGCTTGTTGCTTGTTGTTTGTTGTCGGCGTCCTCCCCGCGACCCGGCCCGCGACCCACCCGCGACCCCCCCCCCCCGACTTGCCCGCGACCCACCCGCGAACCACCCGCGACCCACCCCGCGACCCACTCTCGACCCACCCGAGAACCACCCGCGACCCACCAGCGACCCACCCACGACCCGACTGGCGATCCAACCGCGACCCACCCGCGTCCCACCCGCGACCCACCCCGCGACCCGCCCACACTGCTGTAACGAACAAATTGGCGCCTGCGGCGAGCTCGTTGTATAATTTGTAAAAAAACTGGTGCCTGCGAACGGCTTCCTCAGAGCCTCGCAAACTGCCAACGTCCCCGCCGCCCCCTCACTCTTATCCGCAACTGCAGGGTGCTACGATATATACACCTTTGCACATACATACATATACATATATATGTTTGTAGACGCATATGTTTATATATAACTATATCTCTATATATAGATATATGTTTGTGTATATATATATATGTATATATATGTATATGTATATACGTACATGCAGTATATATAATGCATACATACGTGATGCGACTCGTATTGTACTTTTTCTGCTGTGCCCTACTTATGGGGCCTCCGGAAGCCTCCGCAGCGGATCCAAGGACTTCCAGGGAGCTCAAGAAACCGTCCCGAGAGGGAGGAGGAGGTGGAGGTGGTGGAGGAGGAGGAGGAGGAGGAGCAATGGGAGGAGGAGGAGGAGGAGGAGGAGGAGGAGGAGGAGGAGGAGGCGGAGAAGGAGGAGGAGGGGAGGAGGAGGAGGCGGAGGAGGAGGGGGAGGAGGCGGAGGAGGAGGAGGAGGAAGAAGCGGAGGAGGAGGCGAAGGAGAAGGAAGAGGAGGAGGAGGAGGAGGAGGAGGAGGAGGAGGAGGAGGAGGAGGGATTCTGGGGACGTCCAGAGCCCTCCAAGGCCAGACCTCTGGCAGCTCGGCAAAGATCGCGCCAGAATTTGTGTCCCCACGGCGTTCAGGGGCCGTCCTCGGGGGCCGGGGCCCGTCAGCACACGACGCAGGACGCAGCGCCAGTCCTCGGCTTCCTGGCCCTTCACGGATGTCCACCTCGAGCCTATTTTGGGCTTCGCTTGGTTGTCGTCTGTGCCGCCGCCTCCCTGGCGTCAACAGCATCACTATCAGCATCCGCATCAGCATCATCATCATCACCACCATTAACAACAGCAACATCAACATCAACACCAACATCAACATCATCATCCCCATCACCATCACCATCAACATCACCACCACCAACATTATCAGCATCGGCATCAACCTCCAAATCGTCATCATCAGTATCATCATCAACAGCATCATCATCAGCATCAGCATCAGCATCAACATCAACATCAATATCAGCATCAGCATCAGCATCAACATCATTATTATCATCATTATCGTCATCATCATCATCATCACCATCATCATTCTTACCAACATCATCTTCAACGTCACCTTACCGTCACTGTCAGCATTCTCATCCCTCTTCCTCGTCCTCCTCATCTCTTCCCCACATGCTCGCGACGCTGTCGTCGCGACCACCGCCGTCATCGTTGCCGTGGCCCTCGTCCTTCTTCACACCCCTCCGTCGCCGCCGCCGCCGAGGCAGCTGCTGCCGCCGTCGCCGCCGCCGCCGAGGAAGCTGCTGCCAAGGCCGCCGCCGCCGCGGAGCGCGGCCGGGCGGCCGCCCAGTCGCAGCCGCGCCTCGCCGTGCGAGCTGCCGCGCCGAAGCGGCGGCGTCCTCGGCGCGCGCAGGGGCGCCAAGGCCTTCGGCTGCGCCGCGCCTGGCGGCTGGGTGTGCGGCGTCACCGTCCCCGTCGGCGATGCCGCAGCCGCCGTTGCCGCCGTCGCCGCCGTCAAAGCTACCGCCGCCACCGATGTTGCCGGCACCGTCGCTGCAGTCGTCGTCGCCGTCGTGGTCGTCTTGGTCATCGCTGCCGCCGCCGTCGTCGTGGCCGCAGTCGACGTCATCGTCGTGCACCTCATTCTCTGCTGCATCTTTCTCCCATTGCTGCTGCTCCTCCTCCTCTTCCTCAAATTTCGACTCCTCCACTTACTGCTCCTCCTCCTGCTCCTCCTGCTCCTCCTCCTTTTTCTCCTCCTTCTCCTCCTCCTTCTCCTCCTCCTCTTCTTCCTCCTCCTCCTCCTCCTCCTCCTCCTGCTCCTGCTCCTCCCTCCTCCTCCTCCCTCCTCTGCTCCTCCTCTCCTGCTCCTGCTCCTCCTTCATCCTCCTCCTCCTCCTTCATCTCCTCCTCCTCCTCCTCCTCCTCCTCCTCCTCCTCCTCCTCCTCCCCTCCAACCCCCGCCGTCTCTTTCGGCGCCCTCTGCTCCACCCTCGCCTCCGCCCTCTCATCCCCCGCCCATTCCGCCACCTCTCCTCCGTCCTCCCCAGCCTCCCTGTTCACTCCCTCCTCCCACCCTCGGGGGCGCGCAAACATGGATTATCGATCCATGGATTTGACGCGCGGTCGCCCAATCTATGGATCGGGGGAGGTGCCCTCCCCAAAATGCTGCCAGTGCCGCCTCGCTCGGTGGCGGAAATCCGCGATTTCCCATGGAAACGGGACGCGTCGCTAATCCACTCTCCCTTGATCCATGTTAACGATCGCCTGACACCCCTTCCCCTCTCGCGAACCTGTCCTTCCCCCGCCCCCGCCCTTGACATCCGCTTCTGGTCTGGGCGGCGGCAACCCGCGAGCCTGCGGCCTGCCCGTGCGCGCCACCGTGTCCAGCGGGGGCTGCCTGAGGGCCGCTCGCGGACGTCGTCGACGTCGCCGTCGTCGTCGTCGTCGTCGTCGTCGTCGTGGTCGTCGTCGTCGCCGCCGTGTCGTCATCGTCGTCACCGACGAAGTCGTCGACGTCGTCGTCGCTGTCGTCGTCGCCGTCGTCGTCGTCGTGGTTGTGGTCGTCGTGGTCGACGTCGTCGTCGACGTGATCGTCGTCGCCGTCGCCGTCGCCATCGCCGTCGTCGACGACGTCGTCGACTTTGTCGACGTCGTCGTCGTCTTGGTCGTCGACGTCGTCGTGGTAGTTGTCGTCGTCGCCGTCGCCGCCGTGTTGTTGTCGTTGACGTCGTCGACGTTGTCGACATCGTCGTCGTCGTCATCGTCGTCGTCGACGTCGTCGTCGACGTCGTCGTCGTCGTGGTCGTGGTCGTGGTAGCCGTCGCCGCCGTGTCATTGTCGTCGCAGTTGTCGTTGTCGTAGTCGTCGTCGCCGTCGTCGTTGTCGTCATCGTCGTCATCGGCGTTGTCGTCGTCATGATGGTGGTGGTGGTGGTGGTCGTCGTCATCATCATTGCCGTCGTCGTCGTCGTCGTCGTCGCAGTCGCGGTTTTCGTCGCCGATGCCGCCGTGTCGTCGTCGTCGCCGTCGCCGCCGTGTGGTCGTCCTCAACGTCGTCGTCGTCGTCGTGGTCCTGGTCGTCGTCGCCGTCGCCGCCAGGTCGTCGTCGTCGTCGTCGTCGTCGTCGTCGTCGTCGTCGTCGTCGTGGTGGTCGTTGTCGTCGTCGTGACTGTTATCGTCATCCTCGTTTTTGCCTTTGTCATCGTCGCCGCCGCTGGCGTCGTCGTCGTCAAACTTCCTCTTCTCGTCTCCCTCCTCCTCCTCCTCCTCCTCTTCCTCCTCCGCCTCCTCCTCCTCTTCCTCCTCCGCCCCCTCCTCCGCCTCTGCCTGCTTCCACTCCTCCTCCTCCTCCTCCTCCTCCGCCTCCTCCCCCTCCTCCTCCTCCTCCTCCTCCTCCTCCTCCTCCTCCACCTCATCCCGCTCCTCCCCGACCCCTGCCCCATTTCTCCACCACTCCCTCCCTTCTCCACCTCTCGGCCCTCCCCCTTCCCTGCCCCTCCCTTTCTCCTCCTTCGCCTCTTCCTCTTCCTCCTCGGGGTGGGCTCTGTCTAGTCCTTGGGCAGGCGTCGCCCCAATCCTATCGCCCATGCGTGACTTCAGCACGCGGGGAGCGCTGGCCAGCGCGGAGAAGGAAAATAACCCTTCTATCCGGGGCCCGATTTCCGAAACGGGTAGTTGCTTGTCATGGCCTGGTGCTCAGAAGCGGCCCTGGAAGCCAGAAATTAGACAGCAACTCCTCCTCCTCCTCCTCCTCCTCTTCCTGCTCCTCCTCCTCCTCCTCCTCCTCCTCCTCTTCCTCCTCTCTACCCTTCCCACTTCTTCTCCCAGCCTTTCCACTCATGAACTCAAGAGGTCACGTCGTCAGAGGTCGGAGCAAAGTGGAGGAGAGGAGACATGGGGGAGGCCAAGGCAGGTGCGCTCGCGTGACGCATTTGGCGCCCTACCTATCCGAAAGGCTCCTTCCACAATGCGATGAATATTATTCTCAAGTCGGGCGTGTCCCCCTACAGGGGGATTTTCGACGAAAAATAAAACATACTCAAAATATACCCCCAAATGGTCAAAACAACATCAAAAAATCGTCCCCATACTATTATTTTGACTATTTTGGAATATTCCCCCTGTAGAGGGACAGGCCCGACTTAACCCTACCTATCCGAAAGGCTCCTTCCACACTGCGATGAATATTATTCGTGTGTCCGCTTGCCGGGGTGCGGGCTGGGCGTCCGGGCTGCTGGGCGCTGGAGGTCTGGCTGTTCGGCAACGAGTCGGGCGGTTCGGGACGACTCCGGCGTCGCCAGCTGGCCCCTTCGACGAGTGTCGCCCACTGATACCCGACCATACTCAAAGGGGTGAAGCTGCTGATGGACACACCGTCTGATTAGCGCAGGCCCTTATGAAAACTAGCAAACCATTCCAGCATTTCCGAAAATGATCGGAACATTGAAAACCACCTGAAAGCCTCCGCAAAGCGCACCCCCAAAACCTCCGAAACCATTCGAGAACCTCCGAAAGCATCTGAAGGCCTCCGGGAATTTCCGAAAGCAATCTCCAAACGCCTCCAATGGCCTCCGAGACCCTCCGAAAGCTGTGACAGCATCCAGACGACCTACCAAAGCCCCCGAGAACGCCTCCAGAACCTTGTCCCACTGACCGGAAACCCTGGACGACGGCCACCAGAGTCACCAGAACCACGACGACTTTGGCAGAAGCGACGACGACGACGACCGCGACGCCTGCCGCAGCGACGACGACGACGACAACGCCCGCAACGACGGCGACGACGACGACAACGGCAGGCAATGACGACGACGACGACGACGACGACGACGACGACGACGACGACGACGACGATGATGATGATGATGATGATGATGATGATGATGATGATGATGATGATGATGATGATGATGATGATGATGGTGACGATGATGATGATGACGACGACGACGACGACGGCGAAGACGACGACACCGACGACAACGGCCGCGACGACTGCCGCGATGATTACGATGACGACGCCGCTGCCGACGACGACGACGCCGACGACGGCGACGGCGGATGCAACGGCGACGGCGGCGGCGACTTCTTGGGCGGCGCACCTCCTGCGGCGGCCCCTCGGCGGCGCCGGCGAGGAGGGCCGCGGCGCTGGGGGTCACCAGGGGCTGCGGCCGCGCGGCCGAGGGCGCGGGGGCCCGAAAAACCGCTGCGGCCTGGCTGGGTTTCCCTGCGGCGGGGCCGCCGTCGTCGTCGAGGAGGGGGGGGCGCCTTCTCCTCCCCCCCTCCCGCTTCCCTCCTCCTCCTCCTCCTCCTCCTCCTCCTTCCTTCCTCCCTTCCTGCTCTCTCCCTCCTCCTCCTCCTCCTCTTCCTCCTCCTCCTCTTCCTCCTCCTCCTTCTCCTCCTCCTCCTCCTCCTCCTCCTCTCCTCCTCCTCTCCTCCCTCCTCCTCCCCCTCCTCCTGCGCCTCCCTCTCCCTCCCCCCGTGAGAGGAGGGGGGGGGAGCGGCAGCAGGAGGAGGAGGAGGAGGAGGAGGAGGAGCATGAGGAGGAGGAGGAGGAGGAGAAGCATGAGGAGGAGGAGGAGGAGGAGGAGGAGGAGGAGGAGGAGAAAGAAGAAGAGGAAGGGATGGAGGAGGGAGGGGTTGGGGAGGAGGAGGAGGAGGAACGAGGAGCACGGCGGAGGAGGGACGATGAGGAGGAGGGGGAGGAGGAGTGGAGGGGGGGGGGGCGGAGGGGGAGGAGGGAACGCACGAGCATTCGCTGGATTCGCTTCGAAACGCGAAGATGGAGAGTGGAACCTCCGAGCATGTGGACTTCCGCAGCGCATGTCGGGCGCCACGGCGCTGCAGCTGCGATGGACAGCCCACGTCCAGCCCACGACGAAAACGACGACGACGTCGACGATGACGCCGCAACGACGACGTCGACGTTGCCCACGACGACGACGACGCTGCCCACGACGACGTTGCCCACGAAAACGTTGCCCACGACGACGTTGGCCATCGGGCCCTTCCAGCTGAAGCGCGGGTGCCGCCAGCTCCTGTGGCAGCCCACAGCGTGGTCACGGCCCCAAAGGTCTGCAGGGGCCCCCAGCCTGCCATCGCTCGGGCGTCCACCCCCCGCGTATCTGTTTCGTGGCTTCGCGCGGGTACCTTTTGCAGAGTGGTCCACGATGCTCCTCAATGAGATCCCCGCCGAGAGAAGCTGCACACGTCCGAGCGATTCCAAGGCAGAGGCCTCCGAAGGAACCCCAAGTCAGCGGCGCAGAGGGTCCTCAAGGGCGGGCAGCAAATAGAAGTGCTACTTGCCATCAAGCGCTGTCGAGGGCACAGCGTGCGAGACGTCGCACCCCAAAAGGGGGCCACGGGCGTTCGACACACGCGGGACTATCGCACCTCGAATCCCTTCGAACCTCGGCGGCGGCGATGGCCACGAGTCGCGGCGCGCATGCCAGCGGAAGCGGCGGGGGCGGCGACGACGACGATGACGACGACGATGATGTCGTCGACGATGACGCCGCAACGACGACGACGACCCTGCCCACGACGACGACGACGACGACGACGACGTTGCCCACGACAACGACGATGACGACGACGACGACGACGACGACGACGAAGGCGGTGGCGGCGACGACGACGACCGACCACTTCGAAATCCGCTCACCACTGACCCTTTCAGGGGTCGGACCTGGCCAGTTCTTCGAGCTGCGTCCAGCCGTGGCGACGAGGATCTCCAGAAACGCCCGATATCGGTGGCGGCGATGGCGACAGCGGCGGCACGACGACCACGCTGACGACGGCGGCGGCGACGGCGGCGACGACCACGACGGCAACGGTGACGGCGACGGCGGCGACGACGACGCCAACGATGACGCTGAGGATGGCGGAGGCGAAGCTTGCGGCGGCAGCGGCGACGACGGCGGCGGCGACGACGACGACGACGACGCCGACGGCGACGGCGGCAGCGACGCCCAAGGCGCGCGCGCCTGCGGGGGCCGCGGAGTCCTGGGCGGCGCCGGGAGCCACCGTCGGCCCCGCAGGGCGCGCGGGGGCCGCCGCGGAGGGCCGTGCGGTGGGCCTGGGCGTCGCCCACGCCAGCGCCGCCGGCGTCGCCGTCGCCGTCGCCGTCGCCGTCGCCGTCGCCGTCGCCGTCGCCGTCGCCGCCGCCGCCGCCGCCGACGCCGTCGCCGCCGGCGTCGTCGTCGTCGTCGTCGTCGTCGTCGTCGTCGTCGTCGTCGTCGTCGTCGTCGTCGTCGTCGTCGTCGTCGTGGAATCGTCGTCGGCACCGTTGTTCTCGTCGCTTTCGAGGTGGTAGCGGTAGTCGTGGTAAGGGTCGTGGTCCTCACCATCGTCGCCTTTCAAGGGGGACGGGCGCCTGCGCAGTGCCTTTCCTACCACTTCGCCTGCACTTGCGGCGGATCTCTCGCAGTTGCGGGAAGTCGCGCACCTGCGTGAGCTCAGCTACATGCTGGTGCTACTTCTCCGCCAATTGGCGATGTCCGCAAACGAGGCAACCGAACTCTTTGCGGCCAAGTGGCTGCGCCCGCAATGGCGGTGCCCTGCGTAGCGCAATGGCGCCAAGCGCGGTGGCGTCTCAATCCGTAGACTTGGGCTCCGACACCTGGCCCTCCTCCTGCTTGCCATGGCACCCCACATTTTCCTGGCACTATGGGGCGTGGCGCGTGGCTTCCAACGGGAGCGGAGCAGGACCTGTCCAGGAACGTCTTCAGCCATCACACTGGTCCGAGACTTCTGGCACCGCCTCCTGAACGAAGGCGCTCAGCTCCGGGCTCCTCCGCCTCCTCTTTCTTCTCCTCCTCCTCCACCTTTTCCTCCTCCTTCTCCTCTTCCTCCTCACATCCAGGGATTACCTACCAAGGATTCATTGTTGTGATGCACAGCTTATTTCCCCCCAGTGCAAGCCATCAACCACATGGCCGTTCTTTTCGGGGGGAGGCATCCTCCTTCTTCTCCTCCTCCTCCTCCAATTCCTCCTATTATTCCTATTCCTCCTGTCGGCTAAGGATTCCCTGCCAAGGATTCCTTGCTATGATATAAAGCTTGCCATGGGCTTAGCAAGGTTTAGCTAAACTCGCCAGGGCTTAACAAATTTTACCAGAGGCTTAACACAGCGTAGCAAGTCTTGCCAAGGGTTTACTACAGCCTACCGTGGCTTCCCTAGAGGGCTCCGCCCCACCAAAACGTCATCAATCGTACCTCGCTCTGTCCGTTACCCGGGCCGGCACCGGAACGGGATGAGCGGACCAGGAACTTGCCCGAGATGGCTCACGGCACCCTTCGCTCTTGGGAGCATTGGTGGTAAAGCTTGTTACGTCACCGCTCGCTCTTGGGAGCCTTGGTGTTCAGAGACTTTTATGTTTCCGCTCGCTCTTGGGAGCCTTGGTGTTGAGAGTTGTTGAAGTCACCGTTCGCTCTTGGGAGCCTTGGTGGCACGAGTTTGTCACGTCACCGCTCGCTGTTGGGAGCCTTGGTGTGAAGAGCTTTTTGCGTTGCCGATCGCTCTTTTATTTGGCGTCTCTGGGCCTCCTCGGGGGTCTTTTTGGAGCCCGTCTGTGGCCCTTTTGGGCCGTTTGTGAACCTTTTTGGGCCGTGCTTTGGCCTCCTGAGGCCCTCTCGGGGGCCCTCTTGAGGACCTCTGGGGCCGTCTCGAGACTCTCTTGGACCGTCTAGCGGCCATCTGAAGCTCTCTTGGGGCCGTCTTGGGGCCCTCTTGGGCCGTGTTGCGGGCCCTTGGGCCGCTTCACCCGAACAAATACAAAGAAACGGGCCATGGGAGCCGCCCTGGAACCGCTTCATGGACCGTCTTGGAGCCGTCTTGGACCCCGCTTGGACCGTCTTTCGCGCCTCTCGGACCGTCTCGGGCGCCTCTGGGGCAGTCTTAGGGGGGGAGGGCTGGCGATTAAACCCGTCCTTCTGGACCTCTCCCCCCCTCTGCACTCCCCCCTCAAGGGCTTCGCCCACACACTACAACGTCATTAACTCGTACCTCGCTCTTTCCGTTACCTTGGCATGGGGACGGAAAGCGTGGGTTCTTTCTGTGACGGGGTCATCTTGGGCCATCTTGGGCCATCTCAGGGCCTTGTTGGGCCGCTTTGGGGCTGTCTTGGGCCGTCTTGGGAGCTGTTTGGGCCGCTTTGGGGGGCTATGTTGGGCCGTCTTGACGCCTCCCGAGGGCGTCCCAAGACGATGTCGACCAGATCGTACTTTTTGGAGGATAGCCCTAGCGAAATCGTCATGTTTGGGCCACAGATCAGGCCATTAGACTCTGGGCCCCCCCTGCCTACCCCCCCCCTTGATATTTCTCCCGACTAACGGATCGCGAAGCGGCGCGCTTTCCGTCATCCCAGCTCCGCCCCCCTCCCCCTTCCCCTGGACCCCTCCCTGGAAGGCTTCGCCCGACCAAAACGTTCATCACTCGCACCTCGCCCTTTCCGTTACCTGGGCCGACACGGGAACGGAAAGAGCGCCTCAGGAGCCTCAGGAACTTGCCCGAGATGGCTCATGGCACCCTTCGCTCTTGGGAGCCTTGCTGTGAAGAGCTTGTTACGTCGCCGTCTCCGTTGGGAGCCCTGGTGTTCAGAGGCTTATACGTTGCCGCACGCTCTTGGGATCCCTGGTGTGACGAGCTTGTTACGTCACCGCGCTCTGGGAGCCTCGGTGTCAAGAGCTTGCGTCCCCGCTCGCTGGGCTGCTCAACACGATGCTGCGAGTGTGGAGTAGAGCGCGACGATCGGGATCGTCGACCTGGGTACGCGAGCATAAGAGTGACCACAGTTGGGGCACAGGAGCTGACAGGAGCTGATCGGTGTCGGCATGTACTCTCAGCCTCGATGATGGGATGGAGGGGGAGCAGGGAACAGCAACTTCGAGGGTGGAAAACGACCGAACAACTCGACCCTCAAGCCTCGAATCTCGAACCCCGTGCAGATGCCTCATGCGGACCTTTAGCGTCGGCAAGATAAAGAACACATACATACACATAATTTATCGGAGGTCCGCGCGGGCCGCCGAAAATTCATGTGTAAAGGAAAAACGTCTCGTTCTTCTTCGAACCCCGTGCAGGTGCCTCCTGCGGGCGGCGCGTGGCGGTCCGGCTGCTGGCGCACGAGGCGGAGGGGGGGCGGCTCGTTGTCGTGGTCGTGGTAGTCGTGGTGGTCGTACTGGTCGTCGTGGTCGTCGTGGTCGTCGTGGTCGTGGTGGTCGTCGTGGTCGTCGTGGTCGCCGTGGTCGTACTGGTCGTCGTGGGTGTCGTGGTCGTCGTGGTCGTCGTAGTCGTCGTGGTCGTGGTGGTCGTCGTGGTCGTCGTGGTCGTCGTGGTGGGCAAGAAGACCGCGACCCGGGCCGCCTGCTAGGCGCAGCCGCCCGCGACGGCGCCGCCGGCGGCAGCGGCGCCCCTGCCGCCGAGCGGGCCCCGGGCCCCCCGGGAGGTCGCGGCCGCGGCGGCGACGGTGGCGTCGGCGTCGTCGGCGTCGTCGGCGGCGGCGTCGTCGGCGGCGTCGTCCGCGTCGTCGGTGGCGTCGACGGCGGCGTCGGCGTCGTCGGCGTCGGCGGCGGCGGCGGAATCGTCGGCGGCGGCGTCGTCCGCGTCGTCGGCGGCGTCGGCGGCGGCAGCGTCGGCGCCGCCGCCGTCACCGTCGTCGTCGTCTTCGTCGTCGCGGTCGTCGTCGTCGTCGTCGTCGTCGTCGTCGTCCTCGTCGTCGTTGCTGTCGTCGTTTTCGTCGCCGTCGTCGTCGCCGTTTCGGGAGCCTTCGGGGACTGTTCTGGAAGCCATATGTCGCAACGGCTCGGCGAAGCTCAAGGAGCTCTCCAAGCAGGACATCCGAAGGGGCCATGAATTTGTTTTGAGTGGGTTTTTGTCTGTCGTCGTCGCCACTTCGGGAATTTTTTGGGCGTTGCTTCCGGCTCTCCACAGTCATGGCTTGACGCAACTCTCCAAACACAGGAAAGGATGGACCCCCAAAGAGACAGGGGATCGACTTTGGGTCCGTCGTTGTCGACGTCGCAATTTCGGATGATTTTTGGAGATTTTCTGGAACTTCTCTGTGCCGCAGCCGATTCACAGCCCGAAGACCTGTCCAAGATGGATTCTCGAGGGGGCCGAGAGACCAATTTCGGGCGGTGTTCTGTGCGCCTGCTTTGTTGCCGTCGAGCATCGAAGATCGTTTGTGTTGGCGCTCCTGGCTTTGGCTTTTTGTTCGGGCCTTTGGGGACGAAATGTTAGCCAAAGCTACCCTCGCCTGAAAGTTCTCGTCGGGAGGAGGGGGGGCGAGGACCGGGCGACAGGAGGGGTGCTTGTGATGTATTGACGCAGTTTCGAGGTGCCTGGGTGACTTCGGGGGGGGCCTTCCAAGTTCCTCTAGGCTTCCGAGCATTTCCTGGAGGGGCTTAGCTGCCCCGATACGCAACACCCAATACGTACCATACCGATACGGAACTCAACACGTAGGCTGAAAACGTAGGTCCGACGCGATGCATTCGCCAAAACGTGGTCCAATACGTGAAGCCAACACGCAACGTATTGACACGGACGTCTTGGACACGGGACGTGTTGCGTTTCAGAACGCACGTATCGAGGCAACTAAGTGGAGGGGTGGTGGTGGCGAGGGAGAAGCAGGAGGGGAAGGGGAGCAACGGCAGAATGAGCAGAGCAGAACAGAGCGGTGCGCGACAGGGTCCGGGTGCTGTTCCTGAGCTGCTCCATGTCGTGCCGTCCCATGCTGGTGCGAGCCATCGTCGGGAGCTTCTTTTCATACAGTGCGCGACG